AATGTTAGGGAATTTACTATGTGTATATATATAGTGAAAAATATGTGGAAGCGTCTGTCACGTACCTGTATGGTTCTGCGGATTTCTTGGGCTTCAGGGTCTCGAAGATATCTTCGCTAGCTTTCCAGTTTCACAATAGGTTTAACACAGTTGGTTTCACAGTAGGTTTCACACAGTTCTAATTTATTTTAATTCACAACACAATGCGCGCGTCATGGCCGCCGTATAGTCGGTTCAGTACTAGGTAAGATAGGGGAAGGGAAGCGCGGGAACAGAAAACTAACGGACTCTAATATAATAATCTGTGCTTACGATGTTACAGAGTAGATTTTGAACAATAATATTAAAGTCAAATATTCAATAGTGAAGATCGGTTGTTGTTGTGTCTGTCCCGACGAAATTTCGTACCTGACCTACCCTGGATATAAATTGGAACACCATTTTATTCCACGGGCCGGTGTGTGCGCTTATGTCAGAGAGGATATTTGTTGTCGCCGTCTTGGTACACTTGAAGGTACTGATCTGTCCATTTTATGGTTGCGTGTAGCCCAATCACGCCCATCACGCTAAATGGCTCGGTTCACGTACCACCGACTATGCGGAGAGATCTGTTTATGGCTTTGCTTTGGCGTATGGTTTGACGCAACTGGTATCCTCGGCTACGTGAATTCCTGATGTTGTTGACCATATACCTTCACTGTTGGACCTTCTGCTGACTTCTCATCCAGACGGAAACCCCACTGGGATCCTCTGTTCATTGAACACGGAGCGAAGTGCCTCTCACGCGTCCTTCTTTGCCGCGATCTACTGGTCGATGTCGTGTTTGGCATTTTAAGACGGCAAATTGGAATGAGATGCGAAGTTTTTTTGCGTCTTACCCATCTTACGAAGCAAACTCGCCGCGAGTTTGCTTCGCACTGGACGATCCTGATGCAATAGCTGAATCTGTCACCGATGTAGTACTTCAGGGATAGGAGATGTTTATTCCAAATTCCCTGATACCTGTCGGTGGTAGATCTTAGTCCTGGTATGGCGGATCCTGTAGATCGGCGCCTCGCCGTATGCAGGAATGCTTCCGTGCCTGGATTGAAGCTGTAAAGTCGAGTGATCCAGCAACCAGTGCCCTTAAGAGGAAGTATAGCTCCGCTTCCAGGTCCTTCAAAACAGTTATAGCCACAGCAAAGTCGGAGCACATCAGCAGAATTGGTAGGAAACTGAACAGTCTTCCATCAGGATCCCGGGCTTTTTGGTCTCTTGCCAAGGCTGCTCAGGGAAATTTCTGTCAGCCATTTGTTACACCACTGCGCAGAGAGGATAACTCGTTGGCCCAACATGCTAAAGAGAAGGCCGATCTCCTTGGATCTCTTTTTGCATCCAACTTGACACTGGACGATAGTGAGCAATCACCGCCGGTCATCTCGCGGTGTGAGACTTTTATGCCAGAGGTAAAATTTACCCAAAAGCTGGTACGTAAGTCTCTTTTCTCCCTAGATATCCACAAGTCGTGTGGGTCTAACAGTATTCCTGCTATTGTGCTTAGGACGTATGCACCTGAGTTGGCTCCGGTACTAACGCGTTTTTTCTACAGGTAGTCCTGAAACTTTGGTAGACGGCTTTGGTTCATCCGATCCCTAAGAAGGGAGATCGCTCAGATCCAGCTAACTATAGGCCCATAGCCATCACCTCCTTATTCTCAAAGATCATGGAGTCGATTGTCAACCGTCAACTCCTACGATACCTAGAAGTGAACCAGTTGATTTCTGATCGTCAGTATGGCTTTCGCCAGGGTCGGTCGGCTGGTGATCTTCTAGCGTATTTGACACATCGATGGGCAGAGACTATTTATTAAGAGTAAGGGGCCCTATCTGTAAGTCTGGATATTGCGAAGGCCTTTGATCGGGTTTGGCACAAAGCTCTTCTCTCAAAGCTACCATCCTTCGGGTTACCTGCGAAGTTATGCAAATGGGTCACCAGCTTTCTCGCTGATCGGAGCATCAAGATCGTAGTCGATGGTGCTTGCTCCGACCCACACTCTATGAATGCTGGTGTTCCACAAGGCTGTGTGCTATCTCCGACTCTGTTCCTTCTGCATATCAATGACATGTTACAAGTCAACAACATTCATTGTATGCGGATGACAGCACTGGAGATGCCTTGTACAGCGGCCATGCTAATATGTCGCAGGCAAACGTTATAGAGTACCGGAACAAACTTGTGTCCGAAATCGAAACTTCACTCCATCAAGTTTCGGTTTGGGGTCAGGAAAATCGTGTTAAATTCTACCCCAAGAAGACACAAGTTTGCGTGTTTACCATTAAAGAATCCATTGTATCGTATCTCCTCAGTTTCAAGACACTCTCCTTGATGTGAAGCCAAATCTCGAGGTCCTTGGCGTTGATATATCCAGTGACGTTCAGTTTTGCGGTCATTTGGAGGACAAGGCTAAAATAGCCTCAAAGAAGCTTGGTGTGCTCAGTAGAGTGAGACGGTATTTCACGGCGGCCCATCGCTTGCAATTATACAAGGAGCAGATCCGGCCGCATATGGAATACTGTTCTCATCTCTGGGTGGGAGCACCACAATACCAGCTACTTCCATTTGACCGCATTCAGAACCGAGCAGCCAGAATCATTGGTAATCAACGTCTATGTGACAGACTCGACCCATTGGCTTTGCGGCGAGATATTGCATCTCTGTGCATTTTCTACCGTATATATCACGGGGAGTGTTCTGAGGAATTGTTCGGAATAATACCAGCTGCTGAGTTTCACCACCGTACCACCCGCCAGAAACTGAAATACCATCCTGATCGTCTGCGGATGAATGGCGGTCTTCCACAGTGCGGTTTTCTAGAAACTTTTTGCCTCGCACAACCACATTATGGAATCACCTTCCAGCAATGGTATTTCCGAACCGATACGATATTGAAACCTTCAAGAAACGAGCTTATTCCTTTTTAAAAGGCCGACAACGTACTTGCAATTCCCCTGGTGTTGCGAGTGCTCATGGGCGGCGGTAATCACTTACCATCAGGTGAGCCGCATGCTCGTTTCTCCCCTTTTATAAAAAAAAAAACCCCGATCAAGACACAGAACAATGAAGACCAGCATCGACGACCATCAACACCGACAGACATAATGGAACGAGCCATAAACAATTTAACTTTATTTTTCTAAAATAAAAGTAGCCAAAGTTACTCCTTATTACATCTGCTACTTGCCAATAAAAGTCCCGTCAAAATCGGTCCAGCCATTTCAGAGATTAGTCGGAACAAACAGACAGACAGACAGACAAAAATTGTAAAAAATGTTATTTTGGTTTATGTACCGTATTTATATTCATATGCATGTAGTAAAAAACGGTTATTTCAATTTTATTTATATGTATAGATTTGCGTCGGCTCTGTCCTTGTATCTAAATCTGTACCGATCGACTATTTATTTCGCATCGGTCAGCATTTATTCCATGCATATTTAGTGGGTGAATCGGTCCGTCCGCCCCCACTGCTTTTGCTATTTTTTCATCCAATAGCGGAACTGTAGATCCCTCATCGAACAGTGCATATATGCTTTGTTTTCCTTTCGGGCCGATTACAGTGACTGGACATACTTTTAATTTGATGTCGGTACTCTTGTCAACTGTCGTTGTCGTAACCACTTCGTTGTCGATGTCTTCAGCGTTGTCACCGGTGTTTACACTGAGCCCTGTGTGTTGGTGCAGCAGCGGATGGTAGCGAAGCTTACACGTGCTGACGCCGCACGGTATTGCTTCGCAATTGTGACGTTTATTTTTACTAACGAGACATTTAAAACACAGACTGCCTTTTTTAACAATGTCCCTTCGTTGATCGATTGTTTTTGTTGTAAATTCAGGACAAACTGTTAACTTGTGTTGTCGTTTGCAGTCTGGGCACACAATCACGTGTCCCTTATTCTCATTTTCTACAGTTTCAACTGTAAAAACATGTCTCTTATTCCTAGGCGGTATCGCTGTCTGCCTATACATCGTCGGTAGTCGCAGTATTTCTTTTTTTATGTATGTAGGCGCCGAATATCCATATTTTATAGCCCTTCTCGCCTCTTGCATAAGATGGTTTGAAAGTTGAATTATTTCTGGATATAACAGTTCTGAGTCAAGTAAAAAAAGGTTATCTGTTCAACCCGATGCTGACCAGGGAAGTACTGGAGAAAATGAGTCCCCATCAACGATCTGTTATACCCGGTAACATAAGGAAATGCTCACAATCAACATTTCCAGTATTGCTGACTTCAGCAATACTGAGTACCGAGGCGAAGCATAGCATTGAGGCGTCAGTCTCATTCCAAATTTCATACAAGTCACTCCTCTGTACTATACTTTATAAATTTATTTTTAAATAAATTCCTTTTTTTTAAAAAGGGATTTTTATTTCATCGAATAACATTTGGTGGCAGCGTAAAAGGGATCCAATAAGCGGATCTCCGGTTCATCTCCATCCATACAAAAACTTTGTTATTGTGTTGTGTTACTGTGTAAAAAAAAAAAAGAAAAGTGTGCTTCCTTTTACTTTTCTCTCCTCTTAAAAGTGAGAGTGTTCAAAACTTTATAAAAAAAGTGAGAAGAAGAATACAAACTCTGCATCACTCCCAAATAGTGGAAAAAATAAAATAATAAAAATAAAAAATAATACATAATTGATAGTTATTACGCAACAATACATAACGCATAGTGCAACTGCGTGGGCTGCCAGACGTCGCGCCCGCCGATTCCGAGAACTTCGATCCACAAACACCCGTCTGCAATGCGTCTTATCTCTATATTAATTGCGCACTTAAGTACGTAAGTCCTTGGTCATACTTAAATACTAAAACATCTTCTTTTTTTAACATTGAATAATTTCCATATTAATTATTATTTAATAAATAAAAGTCAGTTCTTGCCATTTAAATAAATATATATATAAATAAATAATACCACTATATCTAATGTCAAAATCAGAAGCAAAATCCAAGTTAGTTACAATGGCAGAAATTGACTTGCAAATGTTGTTTAAATTCATAAGTGAATTCGATGGAAGTAGGGAAAAGTTGAATCCTTTCCTCAATAATTGTAGAAATGCTATTGAACTAGCATCACCACATCAAATAGATATTCTTTTTAAATATATAATTAGCAAACTTGAAGGTCGGGCACAGATTGCTTGTTCAATCAAAGAATTTACAGACTGGGAACAACTTGAGGAATTTTTAAAAAACCAATTTGGTGAAAAGAACTATTACATTCATTTATTATGTGACCTTCAAGCGTGCAAACAAAATTACAATGAAGTCGTTAATCAGTTTGCTCTAAGAGTAGAAACCTGTTTAGCTAAATTACTCACGAAAATAAACATTTCTATTCCTACTAAAAAGAAACTAGAACTCTCTGGTCGAGTCGCTGCAATGCAGGATTTGGCCCTTCATACATTTATCACAGGACTCAACCCGAAATTGTCTACTATAGTCAGGTGTCGAGATCCCGACACCCTTAACAGTGCTATTAACTTTGCTGTAGCCGAAGAAAAGATTCTACAAACGTATAAGCCACAACCGTCTTCATCTCATACAGGCCAATATGAACGACCTCGTCAAAATTCTAACGTCAGATATGATGGTAATCGACAGACGTCTTCAAAGTCCTCGAATGTTAATTTTACTCCGGGCAACCCAATAATATGTCGTTATTGTAAATTTTTGGGCCATTCGTTAGAAAATTGTAAAAGGAGAGAATATGATAATAAATACCGAAATAACTTTACTGCTAATCAACCTACTACATACACACAAAATCTTGTTCAGCGTGTTAATTATGTGGAGGACATTCAGTCCGAAGCTGAACCCAATTGTCTTGAGGGTAGTAATTTAAACGAGTAAGCATCTCGTCAAGGCGTCGTGCGAGATTAAGTAATACAAAAATCGACCCTATTATTATCACCGCTGTATCTACTGAATCCATTGAATCCACTGAATCCGCTGTATCCACTGAATCCGCTGTATCCACTAAATCCGCTGTATCCACTGAATCCGCTATATCCACTGAATCCGCTGTATCCACTGAATCCGCTATATCCACAGAATCCGCTATATTCACATATTCCGCTGTATCTACAAAATTCTCTGTATCCACAGAATCCGCCGTATCCACTGTAACTACTCAACCTGCTATATCCACTGTATCTATTCAACCTGCTGTATCCACTGAAACCATTAAAATTACGCAAACTCTGAAACCCATGGAAGTTTTCGAAATCGCAAATGATTACTCAAACAAATACTTACCATATGTCTCTGTTTTCACATAAGTCTCCGAATTCCCACAAGCTCTTCTCGTAGATTCAGGATCATCGATTAGTTTAATCAGACAATATAGCATCTCAAAAAATCAAAAACTTACAAAGGAATTTGTCACTATAAAAGGAATTGATCCCGACTGTGAATCCACTAAAACCATAGGCCATTTTTATTTAAATATTAAACCATTAGATCCGTTTCCGGTAATCGAACTGTCAACACTATAGTGATAAACTCCAAGTGAAAACTAACGAATAAAAATAATTAACTGTGATCTTGAGATATAACTTCGCTACATAACACTAGTAAAACCTCTGTGAAGTGTTTAAACATAATCAGTTTTACAAGATTGCTGAAGATTGATTATAAATACAAAGCGGAATATTTACGAGGTACGAACACATACCCACATTATTACGTTACGTTATTACGTTAACGATATTTAACGTCAAGAGAACTGGCATTTGTGACATCTGACATTAGCAGTACAGTCAGTCAGTGTTGACAACAACGAGAATTTCTGCCTTTGCTAACACTACGTTCCAATATACGCAAACATACAATGGAAGGTCAGTTTCAAATATTATTCGACAAAATGAAAATTGAGATGCAAAATCAAACAGCTGAATTAAAGGATTCATTAACAAAAAGTATTATGGATAAAATAGAAGAGAAATTAATTCCTTTAGTTGAAGAAAATAAAAATCTAAAAATAAAAGTAGAAAAATTAGAAAAAGAAATAGAATCCCTGAAAAGAGGGGAGAAAATAATAATATTATAGTATTTGGCGTAGAAGAAAAAGAATCGTCAACGTCTGAATTACTACAAGAAATAAAGAAGAACCTGAAACATGATCTAAATATTAGTATAGAAGACTACGAAATCAACAAAATCTATCGTTTAGGAACTAAGATTAGAGAAAGCAATAAGCCGAGGCCCGTACTATGTTCATTTATAAACAACTGGAGAAAGATCGAAATTATTAAAAATAAAAGAAACTTGAAGACTATTAATATTAGTGAAGATTACTCAAAAGAAGTTTTAGAAAAAGAAAAATGTTACAAGCGGAACTAGCTGAAGAGAGAAAAAAAGGCAATATAGCATTTCTGAAATATGACCAACTAATAGTAAAAAAGAACATCAACAACCAAGATAAAAGGAAGAGGGAATCTTCTACTTCACCTTCCGTTTACAACAGCCACTCCAAAAAACAGATTGTTTCCTCAGTTAAGTCGAACAGAACAAATGCCTTTGATATGTTGCGGTCTAGATCCAACTCCCTTACTAACGTATCTACCACCAAAAAACAATAACAATTAATAATCGGCAAACGGAAACCAAATCTAATCGAAGAAACTAACAAAGAAATAAGAACACACCAATCTCCCCCAAGCCGACTGGTCCTCGTGGGGGAAAGAGACCACAACCCTCCAATAACAAAAAAAACAATAATCAATAACAACAATAACAGTAAAGAAAGTCGTAAAAATAAAATATACATAGCAGCCCTCAATGTACTCACGCTAAAAAATGAAGAAAATATTACAGAACTAATGTATGCGCTAAAAGACATCAAATGGGACATTGTTGGTCTCAGTGAAGTGAGAAGAGTCGGTGAAAATATCATATCTTATCCAGACTACCTATTTTGTCATAAAGGCGAGACCCCAGGCCTTCATGGGGTTGGATTCATTGTTAAAAATAGTTTAATTAATTACGTGGAAGAATTTATAGGTATTTCGGAACGTATTGCAATATTGAATCTGAAATTACCTGAATATAAGAACCCCTGGTCTATTGTACAAATATACTCTCCAACTGAACAATCTGATCAAGAAACTATAAATAAATTCTACTTTAATCTAAACAATGCTATCCAGGAACACGGTCATTAAAACCTTATAATAATGGGAGACTGCAATGGTCAAATAGGACAGAGACGTCCAGGAGAAGAAAAGGTACTAGGATCATACACATATAGTAGTAAAACAAGAAGTAGAAATGGAGAACAGATCATGAACTTTGCCCTTGAAAATAACCTAACCATCTTAAACACTATATTCATGAAAAATAAGAAAAATATGTGGACTTGGATCTCACCGGACAGTAAAACAAAAAATCAAATCGATTTCATAATGACTAATAAAAATAGTTATTTCTCAAATTTTTCCGTAATCAACAAATTGAACTTTAACACCAATCACAGACTAATTAGAACAGAACTGGTATTAAACGAACCAAAAAAGTCTAGACCAAGATGTGGAATAGCAAAAGTAACGATCGGAAACCATCAGACTGAACAAATAACAATTGCTCTAAGGGACAAATTCAGTGACTTCAATCTGAAACAAAGGATTTAGGTACTTGCAAGACAAATACAACTGGTTAGAAAATATAATGAAAACCCAAATACAAAAAATCGCAAATATAAAAAATGAACCAAGAAAATGGCTATCAACAAATACCATACAATTACTAGAAGAGAGAAACCATTAATCAGCGCTCGAGGCATAAATGACAGAAGAAAATATCTAACGAAGATTAGTAAAGAAATAAAAAATAGCATAAGAAAGGACAGGAAACAAAGAAAAATGGAAATTCTAGAAAGGTATATATGGAAAACAGGCGGAGCCAAAAGCATACAAAGACTTGAAAAACTCAATGGACTGGATAGTTAAAATGAAAAACTATGATGGAAAATGGAACCACCGCAGAGCAGACATTCTGGAAATAGCCACATCTTATTACAAGAAACTGTACAAAGGGGACATCACGGAAGGTGGAATCGATCTGGTCGGTACCACAAGCGTTCCTAGTATTCTTAGAGCAGAAGTCGAAAAGGCTATAGTTACCCAGAGATTAGATAAAACACCGAGTCCCGATGGCATAAGTAACGAATTCCTAAAATATGACAAGGAAATCTTAATACCAGCCCTCACTGATATGTTTAACACTATATTAGAAACTGAAATAATACCTCAGCAATGGACAGAATCTAACATTATCCTGTTATATAAGAAAGGAGATAAATTCGAAATAGGAAACTATCGCCCTATCAGCCTTATGTCAAACATTTACAAAATCTTCGCCAAGGTCATTTTAAAACGACTTGAAAGAACGCTAGACGAACATCAACCGATAGAACAGGCTGGATTTCGTAAGGGTTACTCTGTCATTGATCATATCCATGTAGTTCGTCAAATTTTAGAGAAGTACAAAGAATATCAACTTACATACTATATTGCATTTGTCGACTACAGCAAAGCATTTGACTCTCTGCTATACAAAAATATATGGGAAACATTAGCGGAACAAGGGGTTGAGCACAAATACATCAGATTAATAAAGAATGTATATATTCATAGTACAGCTAGGATCCAGCTAGACAAGAAAGGTCATTCATTTAATGTTGGCAAGGCGTTAGACAAGGAGACCCCCTATCTCCAAAAATATTTTCAGCTGTTTTGGAATCAGTTTTCAGACAAATCAAATGGAAAATATTTTGGTATCATGGTAAACGGCGAATCTTTAACACATCTGAGATTCGCTGATGACATAGTACTATTCGCTGAAACATCTAAAGAGATTAATGCTATGATCGCAGATCTTGCCATAGAAAGTAAGAAAGTAGGCTTAACACTGAACCCAGAAAAAACTAGAGTGATGACAAATGGAACTAAAGACACGATACTCTTAGGTAACTCTGAAATAAATTATACTGATGAATACATCTATTTAGGACAGCTTATAACTCAAGAACAACCGATGCATGAAGAAGTAAAGAGAAGAATTACTAACAGCTGGAGTAAATATTGGAGCATGAGAGAGGTTATGAAAGATAAAAAAAACTTCATATTAGTATTAAAACCAAACTATTTAACACCTGCATTTTACCCGTCCTTATGTATGGATGCCAATCGTGGACTTTAAGTCATGAAATGACAAGTAAACTCGCAAGTTGTCAACACGCTATGGAAAGGAGTATGCTGAATGTCAAGAGATCAGACAGACTGAAAAACTACATCATCCGGAATAAAACAAAAGTTACAGATATAAATTTGAAAATTAAAAGACTCAAATGGAGATGGGCAGGTCACATAATAAGAGGAGATGATAAATGGAGTAAGAAAGTGACAAGATGGTATCCCAGGGAAGGAAAATGGAAAAGAGGCAGACCCCACACAAGATGGGATGATGATATTAGGACAGTGGCAGGAGTAATGTGGAACAGGGTGGCACAAGAAAGAGAAGAATGGAAACGATTGGAGGAGGCCTTTGCCGATTGGCAAACAGATCTACAGACATTAAAAGATCCAAATAATAGAATAACTATTTTCGTTTTAAGTTTTAAAGCTTTGTTTGATTGTTTTTAAAATAATGTATAAGTTGAATCTGAATAAAGGCTATAATAATAATAATAAATAATAATAAACCATTAGATGCAAACCAACGTAAACAAAATATAGCTCATCAATTCCATGTAGTAGAGAACATTAACTCACCGTATGATGGCATCATTGGTAATGATCTATTAACTAAATTATCTTGTAATATCGATTACACTCTCGTGATACCCTAAAAATTAATAACTCTGAAATCAAATTATATTTCAATGAACCAACTTACCTCATACCGACACGAACAGAAACAATAATCGAATGCTCCGTTTTAAACCCTAATAATCTAAAAGAAGGAATTGTGCTAGATCCTTCAGAGGACATTCTAATTGCAAATTGCATTGTTCGTGTTAAGAATAATAAAAGAAAAGAGAAAGAGAAAGAAAGATCTATCCGTCATCAACACTTCTGAAAATCCGATAAATCTGAAATCAAATCTTAACCTAAAACTTATACCCACTGAAACTCATATCAATCAAAAACAAGTTTATAATAACACTTATTCTTTACAAAAGAAAAACTCTATAGAAATAACTCAAGAAGTACTGAACCAATTAAGAACTGACCATCTCAATAGTGAAGAGAAATCCGCTCTTTTACAAATATGTGCAAACTATTCAGACATATTTCATCTTCGTGGAGAAAATTTATCGTATACTATAGCTCTAGAACATAAGATTAAAACAACCACTGATATTCCTATTCATACAAAATCCTATAGATTTCCCGAAATTCATAAAGCAGAAGTTAACAAACAAGTAGACGAAATGTTATCTCAAGGTATTATCGAACCGTCCACATCCCCTTGGTCCTCACCAATTGGGGTAGTACCCAAAAAGCAAGACGCCTCAGGTGAACAAAAATGGCGCGTAGTTATTGATTATCGGAAACTAAATGATGTTACAATTGGAGATACCTATCCCATTCCGCAGATAACCGAAATACTCGATCAGCTAGGCAATAGCAAATACTTCTCCACACTAGATCTATCTTCTGGATTTCACCAAATCAAGGT